TCACAGCTGTTTTTGAATCAGTCGCCAGAAGTCTTGATGGGAATTAAAAATGATGTAGCTATTACTATAATAATTTTTTTACTGATGGAAATTCGTTGTGAGGTAAAAAATAAATTGGAAGCTTGCTTTAAAAGGAAATTCGTATACGACTGAGATTCAACTCCATTGGGTTTAAAAAAAACCATGATGCAGGAAAGTGTTCGTTTAGGCACAAAATTCTATCTGATTATTAAATTAAAAACAAAATATTGCGTTGTGAATCGTCCTCAAATATATTGGATCTGTTGTTTGCAGCCGTAAAGCTTGAGATTGAAGAAGTTATCAATTACTTGCAACTGCAATTCACATCTGATATCGTGAGTGGTTATGCAAAAACTTCAGATGGTAGCTAATGCGTGTAAAAACCATAATTTTAGTAATTATAAATGAATGTTGCATCAATGATATTATTGAAGAAACTTGGGAAAGGTTTTACTGGGAGATTATGTAAATGTTGAAATTGAAAATTTTTCATAAAAGATCGGAAAAACTTAAAACGGATGAACTTGAGATTTGGATAGAGGTTTGAAATGTTGTTATTTGGCCAAACATCCATTGATAAATTCAGATCCTAAAAGGCTGGACTTCTAAAGAAGTTGAAGAGCTTCTTCCAATGATCAAGTTTTTAAAATTTCCAAAGAACATTGTTTTAAAGGCGTATATTCGTACAAGAAGACTTTTCCCAAAGAGCTAGTTGATGACTTGGTCTATTATCATTCAATCCTCGGATAAACTAATTTGTAAATATTATCAAATGAAAATGGATAGTAGATAGAATTACTAGTTTTTTCAAGTATTTGGGATTTCTATTCTTAATGTAATATTAGTTGGGTACTAAATATTGTCATCAAATAAATTCTAATAATACTCATAATTTTAAAATAATAAATGCAATAATTATACGCACGTGATTGATTAATTATGGCCTTGAATCATCATTAAGATGGTGGTGGCGGATCTTGTTATTTAAAAGTATTAAAATGGTTTCGCCTTTGTAACTTAATTTCGTCGTCATTTATTTATTTAATTCTTTGAGCGTCCTAATTTGGTAAATCCCATTTATAACTATACATAGAATGTCATTTATATAACGAATCTATGCAACCCATTCAATTTTAGAGTTATTTGTAGATATAGTATATACAAATTATTGCAGTACAAACATTAATACAACCAATGAACGAATGATCCGATTGTTCGGAATTGTCAGAATGCTGAATCCTCTCTGATCATTGCTTGATTCAATAAATTTTAATATTTTTTAATATTTATCATGATTGGAAAAAACGTGTTTTTTTTTTATAAATTTGCTTTTTTGCAACATATGTTTTTTTTAATCAATCCATAAATATATGTGAATATGTGAATTTGTTTGAACTTGTTTGTATGTATCTGGCCTATTTTCTGGTAAATTCTGGAAATTTTAACGACTTCTCGATTTTTTGATTGATATGATGTTGATGATGTAAAATCCCAATCAAAAAATCAATTAAAAATCATTTCCATATATTTTTATATATATAAAAGGTTATTTTTTCCCAAACTTATAAAAAAACAGGTAGCTAAGCACGCACATGGTATTTATTAAGTTAGTACTCAATTTAGATTGATAAAAAAAACAATTACTTTAGTAGTTAGTTAATCTTTTTTTTTTTCAAAAAAAAAATTACAAAAAAACCTAATTAAACAATATTAATAATTTTCTTATCCCCCTGCCCTAATAAAAATTCATTTCTTCTCAAAAATCCTTTTTTTCGAACATAATAAATTTTTTTAGTTATCAATAATAATATTATTAAATTAAGTAAAGAAAAAAAATATGAATCCAAGAGCCTTTAGGCCGAATAGAAAACCAGCTGCTGTTTTCAGACCTTGGAATGCAGCAACTTTGGGAGTTTGCCAAGATCAACATGTATGTATGATGCACACATTCGCGAAGAAATAAAGAAAAACAATATCCTTTAAATTATATGTGTTATATTCATTTATTATATTTACATGTTTTTATTCATTTTATATTAAAAGGCTTTGACCTTGGATGAGAAAAAACCATTTGTCAATAATAGATATGCGAAATATAATCTTGTTAATGATAATAGTAACAAAGTTGCACCTACTAGATCCAATACATTTCCACCACTATCCTCTACCACCACCACAACCTCATCCGCCTCATCATCATTAACTAGCAACAATGATAAAGATAATAATCCATATCTTAATAGACCTTCAAGAAGTAATACAGTTTCATCTTTTACTTCAACTACTACTTCTGTTGCTTCTACTACAAGTAAGGAGCCAACAACGACGACAACAACAACAATTGATAAAGATGATGATGGTTGGGGCAGTGGTGGTAGTACTACAGTTGAAATTGACCAAAATAAAAATGATGATGATTATTGGAGTGTTAAGGCTGATACTAACCAGAATAACGATGATTGGAATGTGAAGAATAATGAAGAGAGCAATGGAGGCTGGAATGTAAATAATAGTGAGGAAAATATTGAAAAGAATGAAGGTTGGAATATGAAGAACAATGAAGAGAATGGTCATGATTGGAATAGTATAATTGAAAACGCTAGTGAAAAAAATGAAGGTTCAAGTGAAAATACTAATGAGAAGCGTGAATGTTGGAATGAAAATAGTGGTGGGAGGAATGAATGTTGGAATGGAAATAATAATGGGAAGGGTGAAGAAGGTTCGAATAACACGGTTGAAAACACTAATTGGAGTGACAATCAAAAGTATGTAGAAGGTTATAATAGTACAGTTGAAGCTGCTAATTATAATAATAACGATGACTACTGGGGAAATGAAGAAAATCAGTTAGAAAACAGCGAAAATAATAATAGTATTAGTGAGAAGAATAATGAAGATGATTATTGGGGAAGTGAAGTACAAGATAATCAAGATAATAATAGTGATAATGTTGGTTATTGGAATGGTACAAGTGAAAACAAGATTAGTAAAGAAAATAATAATGATAATTGGAATGTTGGGGGAAGTAAAGAAAATACAGTTTCAATCCCTATTCCAATTACTACCATTTCAGCTACAACTTCATCAAAACAAGAATGTCCTAATGTTAATAATGATTTTGATCGATCACTAATCAAAAAATTAAATGCCATATCAACAACTGATCAGAAACATGATGATGGAAAAGAATCCAATAGTCATAATTTTAATCAAAAGATTATAACCAATATTAATAATATTATTTCCAATAATAGTTCTCAGAAAGTTCGAGGTGGTGGTGGTGAACCTAGGGAAATTTTGGTTAAACTTAGTAACATCAACAACAACATCGCCAATAACACTAACACAGCTATTGATACTACCAGTAGTACAAATGGTAAAAAATTTCCAATTTTTGTTTTCATTAATGACAAATTTAAGGAAGAAAAAGAAATAAAATCAGTTATAACACCTCATCCACATCCTTCTTCCACTCCTTCTTCCTCTCCTTCTTCACCTTCTTATTCATCTTACTCCTCCTCCTCGTCAGTATTATCATTATCACCTAAACAATCAGAACAAAAATTGCTTGATCTTAGTGACGATGAAGACAATTCACCAGCTGTAAACAATAATAATAAGAAGGAAACAACTACTGACACAGCTGCTGCAAAAAAAAGGAGATCAGCTGATTTTAAGATAATCGATGTGGAGGGTTTCTTAAAACAAGACTTAGAAGAAGAATTAAAAAAGATGATGGGTGATTTAATGAGTCAAGATTCCACTTCTTCTACCAGTAGCAATCATAATACAACAGCCCAGGTATTATTATTATAAGATAATTTTCTTTGTATTATTATTATAATTATTAGTGTGGTATAATTTTTATTATGCACTTTCTGATTTATTATTTCTATTATTATATTATCATACTATGAATTTTTGTTGGTTTTAAATCAACAGTCATTGAATAATCAATCATTGGATGAACTATTACAATGATAAATGAAGGAGATGTTTATTACATAATTAACTGTTTCCAGATGGGATTAATTGAAAAATGAATATGTTTATAAATTTATATCAATTATCTACATTTTAATTTTATTTTCAATTTATTTTTCAAAAACAAAATTATTATTAATATTAACTGACGTTATAATTTGTAAATTGTTTTTCTTTATTTTTTATTAATAAAAAAAATGTATTTTAGCAAATATAAAAAAACAAACACACGTGCATAATGCGTAATATATAGCAAAATCACTATTACTATTATTATTATTATTACTATTTATTATTATTATTATGCAATGTGAATTTTTAATAATAACCGATCACTCCCTTTTTTGAACGTGTGCCACACTTTTTTGTTTGGAGACTACTGGGATTATCATCATAAATAAAAAAATATTGAATCGATCAATCGATCAATTGCAAACAAAATATGGATTATATAAATATTTGCAGATTCCCGTTTAACCTGTTCGCTTAGTACTCATTACATATGCGCTGATTTTGTTTGAACCCCAAAATCCAGTACGGTATTGATCATAACGTTATGAATATTTTATACTAGCAAAACCATTGGTTTTTAGGTGGGGCCATTGGTTTGACGGGCTATCGAATAGTAAAATAGTTTTTTTAGCGGAGTAAATAAATTGTTTGGGGTTAATTATCATTCTATTGACCAGTTTACACATCATGTTTAGCGTGTTTAACGTCGAGACACTATAAGATATATATAAGGTTTGAAAAAAGGGTCCAAAAAACCGAATCGGTTGATATGATTAGAAAATGGACTGTTGTAATTATAATAAACAAATATCTGAATTATCCCAATTCCATTATGAATCGAATGATTTTTTTCTTACAACAATAATAGATTTTTTAGTAAACAATATAATATTTTTGAGTTGAAAAGGTTTAAAACAACATTTTTAACAACATTTTTTAACGGTATTTTTGCTCGAGTAAAAAAAGAATGTCACCACTATGGATTATAACCATGGCCAATTGAATGGATAATTACATTCTTCCACTTTGAAACTTTGCGATTCTAAAAGTTTGTTTATTCTAATTAGATTATGAGCAATATCTGAAAACCCTATTTGTCAGTGTGTCCTTTAGTAAAAAGAAATTCGATATTAAAGGATTCAAAACGCACACATGATATTGAATTTAAAATTTCTACACCAGACAGGAAATCTGTGTGTGCAATAGGTCAAATTCTCAGCCTTTTGGAATATGAAGACTGTGTTTTTATTCCGACATATCTTCCGCCATTAATGATGATGTGGTTTACGAGACTGCCTTTGGATTTCGTCCTCCATTTGCAATAAAATTTCAAATTTTTGTGGGAAAAAAAAAACAAAAAAAAATTTTAAAAAAAATAACGTGTTTTTTTGCAAAGTTGGCATTATCTTTTTGATAATTTGACTTCAAGAATTACTAGAAGTACTTTTCAGTATTTGTGTGTAGTGATGGGCACAAAAATTATCATTAAGATGATCAAGTTATTAAGTAGTTAATAACTCTATTAGTGACTTAAAAAATACAAACCTGAAGAACTTTTATGGGCAATAAATTTTTTTGCAAAATAACAATAGGGCTTCAAATTAGGAAAGACTTGGCCTGTGTATAGGTTTTCCTTGGGTTAATAACTCTTTCTCAGAATGAAATAGTTAATAAATGGCTAATAACTAATTAATAACTTGGAGTTATTAAGTGTATGGTTAAAAATTCCATCACTATTTGTGTGAAGAATTTATTCCTAGATATGATTTTTTTAAAAAAACTATAAAAAAAAAAGGATATTAATAGCATTTTGGAAACAAACACACTGGTATATCAATGATTACATTTGTTACATTTTTTTTGGCTTCATGAGTACTATTATTTATTCTTCCTCATCTGATGAGGAGGAGGAGGAGGAAGAAGGAGTGGAAGAAGGATGTGGATGAGGTGTTATAACTGATTTTATTTCTTTTTCTTCCTTAAATTTGTCATTAATGAAAACAAAAATTGGAAATTTTTTACCATTTGTACTACTGGTAGTATCAATAGCTGTGTTAGTGTTATTGGCGATGTTGTTGTTGATGTTACTAAGTTTAACCAAAATTTCCCTAGGTTCACCACCACCACCTCGAACTTTCTGAGAACTATTATTGGAAATAATATTATTAATATTGGTTATAATCTTTTGATTAAAATTATGACTATTGGATTCTTTTCCATCATCATGTTTCTGATCAGTTGTTGATATGGCATTTAATTTTTTGATTAGTGATCGATCAAAATCATTATTAACATTAGGACATTCTTGTTTTGATGAAGTTGTAGCTGAAATGGTAGTAATTGGAATAGGGATTGAAACTGTATTTTCTTTACTTCCCCCAACATTCCAATTATCATTATTATTTTCTTTACTAATCTTGTTTTCACTTGTACCATTCCAATAACCAACATTATCACTATTATTATCTTGATTATCTTGTACTTCACTTCCCCAATAATCATCTTCATTATTCTTCTCACTAATACTATTATTATTTTCGCTGTTTTCTAACTGATTTTCTTCATTTCCCCAGTAGTCATCGTTATTATTATAATTAGCAGCTTCAACTGTACTATTATAACCTTCTACATACTTTTGATTGTCACTCCAATTAGTGTTTTCAACCGTGTTATTCGAACC